ATATAGGTATATATATATATATATATATATATATATATGTGATGTGTAAGACAATTAAGGAAAAAACATTTAGTCCAACACACACATATATATATACACACACACACACGTATAATAACCTATCAACTATGAAATAAAAATTCTAATTATTGGTTAAGCAACAATTATACAAACTGGTAACACCAGAGTAACCCAATAGAACAGCAAAATCAACCACCAGCATGGTTTCGTCAAAGTCACCATTTGCCTCTAACTAACTCCCATGAAAATACAATCATTATAATCCAACCATCAGAAAACATACAAAGATAAGCTATATATCAAAATAATCAATAGATCAACATAATTACGACCCAAAGCCCATTTTGGTAACACACAACCTTCACAACATACAACTTAGCATATAGACAATGTCACTTTTCAATGGTCAACAACTTGTACAAAATTGCAACATGACAACATAATCCTTTCAATTAAACAAAATCTCAACACAGTATAATGACAATCTAGCAACTTACAACACAACATAACTTGACATGTCAACTTAAAAGCATCAAATCAATATAATAACTTAACATGAGGTTAGCTTTTCAACATTAAGCATAACATCAATTAAAACGACATTTTAATAATCAATTGAAAATAACTAATCAACTGAACAACTTGAATCACAACTTTCAACAAGTAGTACAACTTATAAATGGGTATAGCATGCTTAGCATAAATAAATCTACTATAACACAATGTCAACTTAAGCAACACAACAACAACCCAAATTTCAACACATTTCATCTCAGACCAAACACTACATATAAACAACACAACTTATGCACAACACAACAACTATATGCATCATCATGCACTTCAATTATGAGATCTCCTATAATACAAATGAACAATCCAATTGATTTGACCTTATCGAACCAACAACACAAGTTGATCTTTTGGGGCTTGCTAAATCAACATCAAATTTAGATATTAATCCATGACACATAATGGTTTCTTGGATGTCACCATTTAAACTATGAAAGTTCAATTCCACAGTCAAGACTAGTATAATTGGGTATTTGCGTACTACAACCATAGCATGCATTACCATGGCACTTGTGGACTTAGCCCATTAGCTATCATCAAGAAACCACGCAATATTTCCAGTAATCAGTTAAAGGTGGTAGCACATCGACTAAAGACTTCATACTTTACTCCACATCAATTAAGGGCTTGGAGGAAACTCAACTTTTCACTTCAAGGTCAACTTCCCAATAAGGGTTTTCAATAAATTATGCTCTTAGAGCACCACAACATAATATTCACACAATGGGATATGCAACTTTTAAACACAACCTCTCATCTAGTCTTAGGTTGATCAAAACCATTTAACTTTCAACACCTTGTCCAAATACTTAAAGCATTCTCAAAATTCATCATGTCAACGACATAACAACATCATGCATAGAACATGTTCAACACATCTACTCAACTGAATCATATACAACTCAATTCATCTTTCAGCCAGTATCACTCATAAACATCATCTTCATAAATCAATGGATATAACATTTTAAATCAATATACACCTTTCAACTTTAACAACTTAAATCAACATATAACTTAAACAACTAACAACAATAGGAAACTTATGACAATAAGTATTTAAAATCATCATCATGCATCATATAAACAACCAACAACTAACTCAAAGCTACCAACAACTAGCTTAAAGTTATCAAACACCTAACTTAAAGCTACCAACACCTAGCTCAAAGCTGTCAATAGATACCTAGAAGCTACCAAGCAACTCACTTAAAGCAATCAACAACTCACTATAAGTGACCAAAATTTGCTTGAAGCAACCAAAATTTGCTCTAAGCAACCAAAATTTGCTATAAACGGCCCAAGTCAGATAGCATCTCTAAACGACCAGACCTTTTTAGTCACTTTAAGCGACCAAACCTAGAAAGCATGCATGACTTCAAGAAAACCTAGCAACTCAAGAACAAACCTCAAATTCTCTCAACCCTCACAACAATACATGCATACAACTCATAAATTGAGGAAAATGAGACATGCAACAACAAACACCAATTTTCCATCAGCAAACCTCCCATTCTTTACTAAGAACAATAAGGATCTATAAAATACAACACCCACAAAAACCAAGTATACCAACAAACATGTAACAAGAATCAAGGTATATGCAGCATAACAATCTACTAACAAACAAGTTTTTATCTTCCCTTATCTCGAATCCAAGCAAAAGAAGGAAGAAGAAGAACTTCGAAGACCACAAAGAAAACGTACTACACTGATCCTCAATTATAAGAAGCTTCAGATCACAACTAACCACAAAGAAAATGCAATCCTAAGCCCCCCCCCCCCCCCAATGCTAAGAGAAGAAGAAGAATGATTCAAAGATCCAGAGACTCCCTCTCTAATTTATATTTCTAGATTTCTTAAGAATGAACTTATGAAATTTATTTTTTTTGAATTTTTTCTTTTAAACCTCAACTTCCCTTCCAATCACAACTCTTATGCTCAAGTTACATCATCTATAACTTAAGTTTAGAAAACATGGTGTTACAATTACATTTAAATTATAAATTTCATATAAATAAAAATCAACAAATTAAAATAACAATAAACTATAAAAAAATCAATATTAACTATTTTTATACCAAATTTTAATTTTAATTAACATACGTAATACAAAATTAACACTAAATTATAAATAAATCATTCAAATATAAATATTTTGATAGTGTAATATATTACATGTCACTTTTCTTCGTATTGTTTTCTCCGCAGTTATTGAGATTTAAAAATTATTAATAATTAGGTTATTTTAATCAAATAAATTCTATTGTATTTAAGAATAATAATATTATTATATTTAACAAATATAATTTTTATTTTTTTAGTTTAAAAATTTAATTAAAAATTCTCAAAAAAGTTTAGAGAATAAGTAATATGTTAAACATATGATTAATGTTGATGGTATATTTCATTAATTATACTATTAATGACAAAAATAAGTAGAAAATAATTAAATTTATAATTAAACCAAGTATTTACGAAGTGTTCTCGGAACCTATGATTGGTTTCTTTTTGGTACAAAAAGAAAAAGAAAACAAATTGCTTTCTAAATGTTTTTATAATGATTATATATTTGAATGAATTAGTTTTAATTTGTTTTTATTATTTAAATTAATTAAAATTATTAAGTATCAAAAAAGTTTGACTCATTTTTTCAAATTAGTATTGTAATTTGTGTATTGTATATTATATATGAATAAATACTATATTTGAATATATAAATTATATTATATTTAAAATTATATAAATTCATATTTTAAATTAAATAAATTATATTTTTAATTTATGATAAATAATTTATAATTTGGTACAAAATTATTTTAAATTATTGATCTATTTCTATACAAAATGACAATTTTCTATTTTGGTGTACATAATATTTTTGACAAATTTAACCTTTAAAATTAAAATGAAATATAGGACAAAAACGAACTGACCCACTTGATGCGAGTGGGTTGAAAATCTTGACCTACTATGTTTAAGATTCTATTTTATAATTATATCAAATTATCAAATTTAAGGTTTTTTTTTACAGCAATTGATAAATTTAATCAAAGGACCCGTAATATAAATTTGTCCTTCAACTTCAAAATTATAATACAAAAATAATAAACTATAAATTACTAATAGTCTTTCTTTTTCAATCAAAATTACTACTAATAATCCTTCCATTACACAAAATTATAATATTCTTTAAGAATTACAACACAGGTATTAATAGTCTTTCAACAGTAATACTATACCACAATATAAAATGGCAAACACAATAAATTACAAAATAAGTAAAAATAAAAAAATTTAATTAGACGGGTTGGCATGTTAATTCTCCCTAACTCGTCATTTGGCATAATAGGCTGGCAAGTTAGACAGTGCAAGCTAAAATGTCTATCTTGACTCGTCTTTCTTTTTTGGTGGGTTGTAGGGTTAGCTTGCTGACTACAACTCACTTTACCACCTCTAGTGTAGAGCTATTAAAGTGAGTCACCCGCCTGACCCACCATGAGTTGAGCAATAAGTGGACTAATCCAACCCAACTCATCTTTTGATAAGCTTAAAAAAAATAAACTCGGTTGTCCATCCACTGTGAGTTGGTGAGTTAAGCAAGTTAGTTCACTTAGATTAAAAAAAATTGAACTTTTATAAAAAAAATACCTACTATATAGTCTTATATCTTAAAACTACATCTGTGTTGACAATATGACTAAAAATTGTCACAAAAAAAAAATAATAAAAAGAATTAGCCACAACTAAAGATGTAAAAAAAAATTGTAACCATGGATATTCGCGAATAAAATCTATTACAAGTAGAAAATGAATATTGTAAATAAGTATTTATGGGTAGGAGTGGCAAAATGGGTCATGGTTCGCGAGTTAAACCAGTATTTTAACTCGCCAACTCGCCCGCTAGCCCGTTTGATATAATATGTTTAATGTAAATTAAATTAAATCACTCAAATTTATTTTGTGTATAATTTTTTATTTATTATACAACAAAATTGTCGTGCATTTGGTTTGTTTTAGCATATGTAATTTGATATTTGTTGTGCAATCAATTTGTTACAAGAGTTATGAATATTATTATAATTACTTAATTGTATATCTATTTTGTTATATAACAAATTTGATATTTGTTATGCAACAAATCAAATCAGATGAAATTTGAGATTTTTTTATTATTTAGGTACACTGATTTATGTAAGTCTATTAGATATTGAGAAAAAAAATATGTTGGAAGAGTAACTCAAAATAAATATAAAAACTTCTTTTTCTTTTTTTTTTTCTTCTTATTTTTGGCGAGCCAACGGGCCTTTAGTCAAGGCCAACCAGAGTTTACAACATATTTTTTCTAGAAGGGCAGCCCGACCTAGCCTATTTTTAGCGAACCTAAATGGGTTTGGGTTGACCCATTTTGTCACACCTACCCATGAGTAATGAGTATAGATATTTTCTATACCCGCATGTAGGATAGGTACGAGTATCATAGTATTCATATATGCAAGTACAAATATCATATTATTCGTACTTGCAAGTACTCGCTAATATTTAATTACATAATTACATAATTATATATTAAATTTGTTTAGACCTATGGGGATGAAATACTTTAACAATTTAATTTAATTTTTAAATTAAAGAACTTTGAATAATAAAATTGTGTATAATATTTAAATAATTTCAGTTTTTACTTTGAGACTATTATTTTTAAAAAATTATTAAGGTAAATAGGAATTATTTTTACAAAATTTTAATTTTTCTAAATAAATATTCACATATGTTTACATATACCCATAGATATTGAAAAAAAAAATATGCATATACCCACTTTATGGATACTCAAATGCATACGAGGATGGGTATGAGACAGATATTTATCCAACAAAACGAGTAATAGGGGGCTATTACCTGTACACGCCCCGCTCCGTTGACATCCTTAATCAAAACTAATTTAATTAGCTTATAATATCAAAGTAGTTGCATAAAATATTAATAAATGATATTAAAATGTTATTAACTATCGTAATTCATAACTATGTATAAAACCTAGTCAATTGTATAAATATATAATCAAATAAACTAACATTTGGGAATCAAAAACAAAGTACCATAAGTGGGTCAACTTGTGAGCTAACTCGGCTCATCGCGTGTTGACTCGTGGGGAGTCAAGTCAAATTTTTCTTATAACTGGTGGGTCAGATTGGCTCATAAGTTCAGCTCATTTTGATAACTCAACCTACATCGAGACACATAGTGCCTTTGTTTCCACTAGTATAAATTAAAATAGATAAGAAATTAAAAGATTCTCTTAAAATCTTTTCATTGAGGAAAAATATAAAATAGCTTTTTAAGGAAAAGTCCCTACAAATACTCTAATCGAAGACAGTTAAAGTGTTTAAAATATAGGGGATTGATAATTTATTTTAAAATATTAACTAATTTAAAAATAAACATGATAAAGATAAATTAAAAATAAATAAGAAGTTAAAAAATCCGTAAAAGCACTTTCATCAAACTAAGCTTCTTGACTTAGTGATTGTATGACCTATTCTAGGACACAGGTCAATCTAGTACTACCAAAATTAATTCTCATTAGTGTTAAAATAATACTTAACTAGCAAAAGTTACACTTCACAAATACAAATTAATTTTTAGTTGCCAGCTTTGAAACATCGAAAAAATTTCTTCAAGAAAAAAAAACCTAAAAACATGTTTAATATATAACACTTATTACAATTTCCACATTTTGAAAGATAAGAATGTAAAATGTCACTATCTTCCTTTCTCCATGCTATTATCATTAATATTTGAAAATTGTTAATAATTAAGTTTTTTTAAAAGTTAATAATTAAGTTAATTTATAAAAAATTTCTGTCGTATTTTCTAGTATCGTAAATAAACTGTTTGATTATAAATATAATTGCTACTATAAAGTTCTGATTCATATTATTTCTAGAAGAAGACAATTTTGAGAATCTATTTCAAAAGTTATTAAAATATAACATTTCTAAATTTGGTGTCAAATCCATCTAAAAATAATAACAATAATATACGACAATAAAGCATTAGATATAACAGACCCACAAAGTTGAGCTATTATGGAAAAATTGAAGTAGCATACAAGTTAAGATCAAACTCTATTATCACTATCTTAATTAAATTGTTTACTTGTATGATTTACAAATTATTTTGATAACTTATGTAATATAATATTTTTTTATCATGATAATTATGGTATAAGTTGAGATATTTATATTATATGTGTTTAGGAAACTATGCTTAAATTCACCAAAAAAAAAAAAGAAAACTATGCTTAAAGTAATATTATTTTTATTTATATTATATTAATAATTAATGTTTTATGACGGTATTATGATTTATTATATTAATGTGTTATTTTTTATTTTATAAAAATATTATTTTTTATGAGAATTTTTTGAGTGAGAAATCTTAAATATTTATATTAAAAATATGTAATATTTAATATGAAATTATGTTTAATTATATTTATTATATTAACGTAATAAATAATATTCTTTGCTAATGTGTTTTTTTATTTTGCAACATACATTAATTTTTAACA